CCCCCCCCTGTCATCAGATCCCTGTCCCCGAAAAAATTTGGCGCCTTCACACCTCGGGATGGGGATGCCGGGGGAGGGTTCGGGCGGCCGCCCCCGCGCCGAGGGGCTGCTGCCGGGACCCCCGCTCCTAATGGTGTCGGGGAGGGGGGGGTGTCACGCTCCATCAATGCTGAGTCACTCCTGGGTACCACCTGGTGCTGCATCCCCCCCCGCCCCCCCGGGATGTTCCCCCACGGCAGGTGAAGCTCCCCAGAACCCAGGGCAGCGGGTCTCTCCCCCTCGTCCCTCCCCGCACGGGCGGTGAGTCCCCCCTAAAGCCCCTCAGGACCCCCTAAAGCCCCTCAGGACCCCCACCCACTCAGGAAGCAGCGGGGCTGCAGGTGTCGTGCCGCTCCCCCCCCCTCCCCACGGCGGGTGGGCGGGGCGAGGGGCCGAGCCGAGCGGAGCCGGGGGGGGCCGAGGGAGGACCGAGGGGAGTCGAACTCACCGGTGCCCCCCGGCTCGTCCCGCCGCCGCCGCCAGTACCAGACCAGGGCGAGGGATGCTGCGTGTCCCGCCGCCACCAGCGACGGGAACAGGGACCCGGTGTCCTCCATGCGGGACACGGGACGGGCTCGGAACCGGCCGGGCTCGGCGGGGCAGGGACGGACCAGCGCCCGCCCCCCCGGGGCAGCGCCCGCTCCGCCTTAACCCCTCCCGGGCCGCGGCGCGGAGACGCCCCCTCCCCCCCCCCCCGGCCGCCCCCCCCCCCCGGCCCCCCCCCCCTGCCGTGTCCCCCCCCCGCGTCGTGTTCCCCCCATCCCGGCTTTTTATATCCCGGGACAAGCGCCCCGGCGGCGCCAGTCCCCCCTGTCCCTGTCCTTTCCGCAGCCCCCCCGGTCTCACCCACCCGGTACGACCTTCATGGGCAAGGCAGGGTGCGGGCAGGTGCGAGCAGGGTGCGGGCAGGTGCGGAGCGCGGAGCGAGGGCACAGCGCGGCTCCGCCGGTGGCGGTGGGGGCGGGGGGGGGGCGGGCAGGGAGCGGGCGCCGATATAAATAACCGGGGCCCGTCACCGAGCCCGAGTTAGAACATGACACGGGTGGGGGCGGGACGGGGCGGCCGCGGTGGCACCTCGGGACCCCCGGACCCCCCAGCACCGGTGGTGGGGGGGGGTCACGCTACCGCCACCTCGGGGGGCGTCGCGATACCGGGACTAAAGGCCTCCGGCACGGCCCCGCCGCCGAAGGAGGCCGCCCCTCCAGACCGGGGAGAAAAAAGGGGGTGCTGGAGGGGCACCGGCATCTGCTCCGCCCCGCGGGGACCCCGCAGCCTCCCGCCGCCGCGACCCCGTCCCCGCCAGCCGCTAATCCAGGCCGGATTTTCCGGCAGCGCCTCGCCGGGCGGAGGGAAAACCCGGATCCGGATCAGCTGGCACAGCGGGACTGGACGGGACGGCCGGGGCTGCGGGATCGAGCCCCACGCGGGGGTCGGGGGGCGACCGCAGCCTCGGAGCCCGGCGCGGGCTGCGACCCACGGGACAGAGCTCGGGGGGGACTCCTCTGTCCCCGCGGGACGTGGGTACTGCCCGCGCAGGACCCGCACCCACGGGGCAGCACCGCGGCGGGCCCGGCCCCCCCCCCGCCGGCCGGTGACTCACGGCGCTGGCAGGGACCGGGCTCGGCGCCTCTGGGCTGGAAACTTGGACCGGCGGCGGCTGCCCACGGCCACGGGCTGACTCACAGCCCGGAGGGGTGCGGGGGGGGGGCCCTCACCACAGCCTCGGGGCGCCGCCGCAGCTGCCCCGCCCGAGGGGGGGTGGGACACCGGACGCCCCGCACCCCCGCCGGGTCCAGCTGCCGCCGATCGTGTGTCGGGATCGCGTGTCGCGGGGGAGGCGGCGTTGGGGACACCCTCGCGGTCGCAGCCCCCTCCCCACCAGCCCTGCCCGCCCCAGCTGCCGCCGTCTGTCCGACCCACCCCGGGCACTGTGGGGGCCTCGGAGGCGCAGATTCCCCACGCGCGGCCCCTCACCGCACGGCTCCTTCACAGCACGGCCCCCCACAGCCCAGTTTCCCCACGACACTGTCCCCTCCCCACCATGGGGAGCCCGGGGGGACGGCAGCAGTGACATTCCTGCAGCGCTCAGGGTCCCTGGCACCCCACCAGCCTCCTGAGGACCCCGGGGAGCCACATCACTGCACCCCGGCCCCCCCAGCGCCCAGGCACCACTCCAGCCCACAGGGTCCCCGTGGGCTCAGGGGGGCACAGCGAGGAGCCCCCCAGCACACTCCTCCCTCCCCGGGCAGGGAGGGGATTGCAGGTGTCCCCCCACCCCATCTTTGGCCAGGCACCAGGGGGGAGGCTCAGGGGGCTACAGCCACCCCTGGGAGCAGAGGGGCTCAGGTGCACAGGGGGCACAGGGGGCTCAGGGGGCACCCCAAGGCTCTGGTCGGTACCTGCGGCCGGGCTGGGCTGCGGGGGCGGCCGGGACACCCCCTGCCCCGCAGCGGCGGTGACGGGCTCCACGTGCCGCTCGCCCTCGTCCTTCCTGCGGTAGAGGCGGTCGCCGCCGGCGGGACGTACCCGCTGGGTGCCGGTGCCGGTGCCGGTGGTGGTGGCCCGGCGGGTGTCGGGGCGCGGGGCGGCGGGGCGCGGGACGCGCTGCAGGGAGCGCGGGACGACGTCGGGCGGCAGGCGCAGGTACTGGCGCAGGTGGGCGATGCCGGCGTCGGTCAGGTACCAGTAGAGGTGTCGCCAGGCGGCCGTCTGGCGCACGAGGCCGCGGGAGCGCAGCGAGGCCATGGCGCGCCGGACCTCCACGTTGGCCACGCCGGGCAGCTGCGGGTGGGTGCGCCGGGGGCACCCGTCCCGCTCTCCCACCAGGACGCCCTCGCGGAACAGCAGCTCCAGGATGGAGCGGAGCCGCTCCAGAGGCATCAGCATCCCCGCCACCATGGCGGCAAAGCAGAGGGCACCGCGCAGGGCACAGGGGACAGGGCTCGGTTACGCCTCACCGCTGCTCAGTACGGTCCGGTGCAGCTCCGTAGGGTACAGCCCAGTACGGTTCGGTACAGCCCAGTATGGCCCAGCACAGCTCAGTATGGCCCAGCACAGCCCAGCCCAGTATGGTCCAGTACAGTCCAATACAGCTCGGTACGGTCCAGCCCAGCCCAGTATGGTCCAGTTCGGCTCGGTATGGCCTGGCACAGCCCAGTACGGTCCAGTACAGCTCAGTATGGCCCGGCACGTCCTGGCGCGATCCGGCACGGCGCGGCGCTGGCTGCCGGCACGGTCTGAACGGCGGCAGCTCCACCCCCGTTTCGGGGGGGCCGGGGGGGGGCCGGGGGGGCCCCAAGCCCAGCCCTGACTCACCACCGGCCCCTCCCCGGTCCCGGCTTCCGCCCGGAGGGGGCATGGCCGGACCCGCCCCCAACTTCTCCCCCCCTGCCCCGACCCACCCGGCCGGTTCCTGCGTGGGAACCCCCGCGGCTCCCGCCCCGCCTCCGCCCCGGGACCGGCCCCACGGAGCTCCCGGGGAGACCCCGAGCCGGGGGTGACCCTGAGCCCGGGAGGGGGACCCTGAGGCTGGGGGCAGCCCTCAGCTCGGGGGGAGACCCTGAGCCCGGGGAGGGGTCTCTCTGAACTTAGGAGGGGGCACCCTGAGCCCGGGGGGGAGCCCTGAGCCCGGGGGGATCCCTGAGCCCGGAGGGGAGCCCTGAGCCCGGAGGGGGGCCCTGAGCCGGGGACGTGGCGCCCACGCCCCGCCCGAGCATCGCACCCCGCCGGGCTGCAGGTAGAGCAGCAGGCAGGGATCGGGCAGAGGGACGGGCAGGTGTACAGGCAGGGGCACAGGCAGGGCTGGGAGGCCACATCCTGCCACGTCGATGTTTGCTCTGCTCCCGCCCCTGTTTATACCGGGGGTGCAGCCCCAGGGGGACCCCACGTCGCCCCCATATCCCCCCAGCAGTGGCACGGCCGTGGCAGTGGCATAGCTGTGCCCCACCACGCCCCCCGGGTGGCAGGTGAGGACGAGGCAGCTGCCCCCCCCCCCCACAGCCACCCTCTGAGCCCCCCCGGCAAGGACAGCTGGCCAAAACCCCCTCAGCGGCAACTGGCACGGCCCCTGGCACAGCCGTGGGACCCCCAAGCACAGCAGTGGGACCCCCAAGCACCGCCGTGGGAAGAGACCGGGCATTGGGGACCCCCCCCCGGGCACACCCAGGCTCCGTGTGAGGGGCGGGGTGGGAGGGAGTGCCGGCACTCACACAATGGAGCAGGAGGGACTCTGGGACGAACTGAGGTGCCAGGGATCCCCCGTGCTGGAGGCTGCCCCATGCCAGGGAGATCCCAGCCCCACAGCCCTCAAAAGGGGAGGAAATCCCCCCCCCCCCCGGGCTCCTCTGTCCCGGCACACCGAGGCTGGGGCACAGGGACACTGCAGGGCTGCAGGAGCCCTCCGGCACGGGGGGAAGGGGGGATGCTGTGGTCCTTGGGAACACCATCCCCGGCACCTCTGTCCCTGCCGATGGCACTACTGGGAGTGGCAATGGGGCGCACTGGGATTTACTGGTGGGGAGCAGTGACCCGGGCATGGCTCACCCCAGAGCTGGCAGGCCACGGGGACCCCAAACCCACAGATGGGTGATGCAATCGCGCTGGCATCACGGGCGGGGGCCCACAGGGACCTGAGCAACTTCCCCATCCCCTGATCTTGGGGGGCAAAGGAAGGTGGGGGAAAAGGACCCCCGTTGCTGAGGGGCCCCAACGCCAGGCACCCCTGGTACAGCTGGTGCAGGGGCACCAGGGACACTGGGGCGCCCACCCCCCAAAAGGAACCCTCCAGAAGAGCATCAGTCACCTTCCTGAACCCCCACAAGCATGTCTGGCACCACAGAGCACCCCCCCAGCCCCACGGTACCCCAGAACCCCAGCAGGGTGGGAATAGATGGGGGGAGCAAGGGGGCAGCAAGAGGGGGCAGAGATGGGAAATGATGGGGAACAGAGATGGGAAATGATGGGGAACAGAGATGGGGCAGCGATGGAAGGAACGATGAGGGGCAGAGATGGGGGGAGTGATGGGGGGAGTGACAGAGGGCTGAGATGGGGCAGAGATGGGGCAGTGATGGAAGGCAGAAATGGGGCAGAGATGGGGGGAGCGTTGGGGGAGTGATGGTGGGCAGCAGGAGCGCGTCCCCCCCAGCCACGGCCCCCGCACCCCCAGCCCGCAACGGGGTCACGGCCGCGCCGGCGGCTCCCACCGGGAAGTGCCGCGTCAGCGCCCGCCGCCCGCCGTGATCCAACGCGATGTGACAGCGGGGCCACCGCCAGCATCCCGCCGCTGCCCCGCGCCGGGCAGGGCGCCGGCAACCCATCCGCACTCACCGGGGAGGAAGGAGCCCCTCGCCCTCCGCTCCGCGCTGCCGGGCCCCCCCCCCCGCACCGGCCCCGCAGCTCCGCGTCCCGCCGGCGTCGCACCTCAGGGGGGGCAGGGGGGCATCGGCTGCCGGCACGCGGCACTGGGGGCACCCCCCCTCCGCAGTCCGGTGCACGCCCCGTGCCCCTCACCCCTCCGGCCCACGGCCCACGGCGGGGGGCAGCCCCCCAAATCTGGGGCGGGCAGCGGCTCCTGGCCACGGTCCCGGCACTGCCCTCCCGGTGCCAGCACCGGTGCCGGTGCCAGTGCCGGGGTCTGGCGAGGCCGCAGGGCTCCCCGTGTCCAGCGGAACAAAGCCGCGGCTGTTCGAGGAGGGCACCGCGGCCAGAGACCGGCTCTTAATGAGGCCGGGGCCGGCGGGGGTCCCGGCACTGGCGTGGGTCCCGGTGCCGGCGGGTGTCCCGGGCTCGGGCGGTTCTCACCATAAATCAACCTCGTAGCAGCCCCGGCTCCGCGGGAGCGGACACGGCCCTGGATCCCCCCGCTGGGCCTGCGGCACCGCTGCGGCTGCCGGGCGCCACGGCTCTCCAGGGGTCCATCCCATCCCACCCCAACTCTCCCGGGGTCCATCCCCACCCTCGCCGAGTCCATCCTCACCCTCGCCGGGGTCCAAACCCACCCTCGCCAGGGTCCATCCCACCCTCGCCAAGTCCATCCCCACCCTCGCCGGGGTCCATCCCCACCCTCGCCGGGGTCCACCCCCACTCCCGTCGGGCTCCGTTCCAGCCCGACCCCGGCTCGGTGGCTCGCTGCGGCGCCAGGCCCCGCGGTGGCTCTCTGCCCGCTGCGGTGACACAGGGGCCCGGTGGCCGCCAGCAGCCCCGTGACCGGCATCCGCCGGCGCCCCGTTACTCACGCCCCAGCGCCCCGGCTCTGCGGCGCGGCGTGGTAACAGGGCACCCGCATGGTAACACGGCACGGCACCCGCATGGTAACACGGCACGGGAACACGGCACTGCCCCGGAGCCCGGCCCGGTGGCGCCTGGTAGGGGCCCGGTGATAGCGGGTGATGCTTGTGACACCGGGTAACACCGAGTGATGCCGGCGATGCCCCCGGTGACCCCCGCTCTCCCGTCCGCGCTGCGACACGCGCACGGGAGGGATGCAGCGCGACCGGAGCCCCCCCGGGACGCGGAAAACCCTCACCGGGACGCGGAACCCCC